ATGATGTGAATACACACCTATGTCTGGCATGCTGAATCCGCGCACGACCTCACAATAGAGTGAGTATAGGCCCTTTGCCGCAAGCAAAGATAATACACCAATTTCAACCATTTTGATTCCTTGGGGACTGGTCAGTTTCGCGGGGATATCCATGGTGTTGTATTGTCTTTTTATATATCACTCCGAAGTATTTTATAGTAAAATATAGTATATATTCGATGTATTCGAAACTTAAGAAATGTATTAGCTTATAAATCTTCGAAAGTGTTTTGAAAATAGGTAAAAACACGTATGTGCGGGTATCTAAATAGCGATTTGCCACACCCTATGCCTGATGGGTGTGTGTACTGTGTTGTGTGCACTTGTTCTTATTGCATGTATAAATTAACCGAACTGTTTATCTATTCAACTTGATAGAAAATATCTTATCGCTCAATATATTTATTTACAGACCAACCGTCATTATTACAATATATTAGTCCCTATAGTACGTTTATCTAAACCGTTGCAACGTATATATAGGGTAGAATAATTTGACTCGCTATAAAAGGCTGTGGGATTCTATTTTTTATTTTAAAAAAGAAAAAGTGAGGAACACAAAAGTAAACGTTGCATGTAAACTTAGAATATTTATGATTTTTTGTAAGTATATCAGCGTGAAACGTAATGACTTTTTTTTATATTCTTAAAAAAAAACATGGATGTTTATTTTACTCTGTACATGCATATTTTCAAAAAAAACATCGAAATAGTCGCATATTCAATAAATAGCAACACACAACGTTTGTACCCACCAGAAATTATACGTGTATTTCCCTGTGGCAGGCTGTGGGATGAATTAAGATGTCTGAGCCTTCGACAATCAAAGTTGAACGCCTACCTGACGAACTGACCGCGGAGGCGGCGGAGGTAATGGCTCACGCGTTCGCAGACGGTCCCATATACACATACATCTTCCAGGGCACGCGAGAATATCGCATCGAGTTACTCACGTGGCTATTCGAGCGCAATATCATCGCCATGCGGAATAAGGATGCAGACGTGGCGTTGTGTGTACGTGATTCGAAAGCCAGTGATAATAAGGGAGGTAAACAATTGTTGGCGACGTTTATGCTGGTGCGAGAGGGTTTCTCTCTGAACAAATGGGACATGGTGAAGATCGGGTTGCTAAGCATGCCATATAAGGCAGGGCTGGCTGCCACGGGGCGCATGCTTCGTGTGTTGGACTGGTTTAAGGAGCGCTATGTAACTTTTTTCAATCCTTATGAGAAAAGAACTGGGAAAGAGACTATAATTGAGAAAGCAACGGTAGAAAAATCAAGTACACATATTACGAAAAAAAGTGTACAGGGTGAGTCAGAATCTGATGTGGTTGATGAAGGTGTGCTGGCGGGTATACACTCCCGCATACGCAGCATTTATGACAATACATATGCGAGTGATAACCGAAATACAAATCCAAGAGCTTGCCGCTACACACTTGAACGTATGACTGTTAGACCCGAGGCCCAGGGGATGGGCGTAGGAAGTATATGTCTGCAATATATAGTGAATTTCGTTGACGGGACCGATTCTGTCATTAGGTTGGCCACTCAGAAACAACGTACCTGTGACTGGTATCAATCAAACGGATTCAATAAGACCGTAGGCACGGATATTTTTTACACCGAGGATGGAAACGGGATAAAGAGCTGGTTCATGGAGTGCTCCTCCGTCGAGTAAAAAGGGTTTCCACGCTGCAATATGTCGTTCATAGTACACTTGCGTGAGGATTTTATATATGTGTGCGTGATGGCCTTTTCATCATGATTTTGATAGCACTGTGAGTACTGAAAGTGATCTTGCGATGAACGCTTGTAATCTGGACAATTCATTAAGCTGAAAGTTTACGTGCGACACTAGATTACTGCATTACTACTGTGGCGTAAGTCTTCGTACACGCGTGTAAACATAATTTTTCTGATAGATATTTACACGAATATTGAATTGCTATTGCATTCTGTACACAAATTTATATGGATCTGGCTACAATGACTATCATTGAAGCTCCTGAAGGACTCATGGTGGTAGATCCACTTGGCAGCTCCGAGCCTGCCAAGATAGCATTCGAACTGTATATGACGCAAGTCGGTCCCCATACCGGCGCCAATCTAACACTACACAGTGTCATTTTCACACATTCTCACATCGATCATTTTGGCGGAGTCCTCGGGCTCGCACCAGAGGAATCCTTTACTAACGGATCCATTCAAGTGGTTGCCCCTCTAAACTTGGTCGAAGAAGCGCTGTCGAAGCGCTGTCCGAGAACTATATGGTCGCCGGATCGATGTTCCGACGTGCGTTCTACATGTACGGAAACCTTATCAAACCTCATGCCCGGGGCTCGATCCACGCTGGACTCGCATTCGGAGCTGCCAACTCACAGTTTGGCTTCGTGGCACCCACCATCTCTATTGACACTGATCTCGAGCACCATACAGTGGCTGGACTGGATTTTGAATTCATGCTGACTCTGAGTACTGAAGCACCAAGTGAGATATACTTCTTTGTGCCGGAGTTGAAATTACTTAATACGGGTGAAAATGCTGTTATGGGTATGCATAATTTCTTAACGCCCAGAGGTGCGAAAGGTCGGGATACTATGAAGTGGGTTGCGGCGCTCCAGAAGACCTTAGATCATTATGGTACCAAAGTGGAGAACATGATTGGACAGCATCACTGGCCTAAATATGGCAATGCTGCTGTTGTCGAACATCTCGAAAATTATCGTGACACTATCAAGTTCACCCATGACCAGGCTGTTCGTTTGCTGAACTTAGGCCTAGGTATGGAAGAGATCGGCGAAACAATCGAGTTGCCAGCCTCATTAGATTCTAACTTCAATACTCGTGGTCACTACGGACATCTTAAACACAACTCCAAGGAGGTATATCAATTCTATGTTGGCTGGTGGGACGGTAAACCCGCTACCTATCAGCAACTTCCTCCGGTCGAGCGTGCACAGCAGTATGTTGCCGATATGGGAGGAAATGCAGAAGTACGAAAGAGGGGCGAGTGGCATCGTGACAACGGAAACTACAGATACTGCGCAGAGATCATGAATCACGCGCGTTTCAACGATCCCACGGATATGGAAGCAAAGTACCTGAAAGCTGATTGTTTGGAGCAGATCGGCTACAGCGAAGAGAGTGGGCCTCGCCGCAATTATATGCTGACTGGATCTGAAGAGTTACGACATGTAAAAGGGGCTTACCCACCCGCTGACCTTGGACCATCGTTTGTTTTGAATATGCCATTGTACATGCTTCTCCAGGGTCTGGAGATTCGAATCAACCCCGAGCAAGCCAACAAAGCGCACGGATTATCGATCCTGGTCGGTGTTGAAGAAACCAACGAGATATTCAACGTTCGTATCTCGAATGCGGTCATGCTGTCGCTGCCTATCACCGACATGAATGCGCGCCCTGGGTCTACGGCCAGTTTCACAGCCAAAACCAGATCGGATCTCATCGCTGCTCTGGTCACCGGAAACTCTTTGCTAGTCAGTGTGACTGGTGATGTTGATACACTCAAGAAGTTTGCTAGTTGCATATCCACCGATGAAGACGCAACTTAGAATGTGATGACTCCTAGAGACTTCTACAAGCCCAAACCACAGAAGACATACCCTGCCAGTTTGATACAAACATCAGTGGCACAGACATCTACAGCTGAATCCAGCTGCGTAGAACAATCGTGTCTGGACCAAGGTCTGAGTGTGGGTGTTGTAGTAGGTGTTGCCGTAGCTGCATTGATGGTCGGGCTGGTTGGATGCATCGGTGGCACGACAATCGTATACCGAAGGAAAACAACGCTTGCGCGGCTGAATCCACCACAGATCTTGGTTGAAGATGGCTCGCATACACTTTAGTAACGCAATAAAACTCAATTACATATGTATACTTCTGTCTACTCTATATTCAATACTTGGTACCGGCACTTCCACTTGCTCATGAAAACCGTGAATACCACACTCCGTATGCTGTGGACAGTCGCAATACCAATCTAATGACAAGATCAGTATATTTTCAGTCACAAAGGGCTTATGTTAACATAAGGCGCACTTCTACAACAGCTATTGACAATTTCACATTCCTTTGTATCTAAAGTCAGCGAGCAAGTGTACGAGATACTTTTATACGCCTCTGTAGCTGTATGATTTTACAACTGTCATAAAAACAATACTAATGCCTATATATCGGCATTTGAATGGTACTATGTAATAAAACGATATATACAAGTAAATGAGGTTTTCAGGCTTGGTAACCTACAAAAGCAACACAAAATACGCAAGGTCACAACATATTCGAAGTATACACTTACATATGTCCGGAAGCAAAGGTGTTTGTCAACGTAAATAAACTTCTGTACAGTATGCAATCAATGTATGCAATGTGCAAGATGGCAATAGTAGGTCAATATTTGTTTAAACGCGTACCGAAGACACAAATATCTGTAAGCAAAATCATGTTCACACGTGTGTACGAACACGTGCGCCACAACTGTCGCGTGGTGTACACGTTTTTATTCTTCTACACTCGCGTGCGCGTTCTTATTTTTAGGCATCTTTTTAGCGTTGATGTCCTCCAGCTCCTTTGCCTTGTAGTAATGTGGTGCAACTTCTGCCAGCCATTCCGCTTTGATCTCAATCACCTGTGTAAATTCACAAGTGAAAGGATACGCTATGAGTATCAATCGTATATCGACAAGGAAGAGATATTTATATTATATTCATAGCTGGTTGCAATGCCGTGCGACTCCTATCCACACCATGCCACTCTGCCTTTTGAGCTCAGTTAAGTACAGCATACGTACGGTACAGTTACTTCCAATACGGCTGAACACGTCGCACTGTCTACTAGTAAAATTCATAGACAAACGTATCAAATGAGTGCAGAAAGACCACGCATGAGGAGAATAGAAGACGTAGCTAACACGTGTGCTGCACGGCGGCGCACGGAAATCACATGCACACGTTTTCAGCAGTGTAGATAGTCTGACCGAATTCCTATGAAATTATATATGTTTAGTGCCTGCGCGTCCAACAAGAACACTTGTTCGTTTGCAAGTTGAGTGTACATCGATCGCAAGTGGAAGGTCACCGACATCAGCGTAGATGAACCAACATACACTTCACAACTCGTATAGCTTGATAGAAGGAAAGGCGAGTGCCAGTATTCCGATGTATGTATATATTCAGTCGTATTTAGGTGTATATAAGTGTACACACTTTGCACATATTCCAAGTATTCAGATGTATCAATTGAATATATATATATATATATATATAGTATATATAATATATATATATATATAGATATATATAGTATATATATA